ATCAACGTTAAGCATTTCAGTTTTTAATTTGTCAGTGAGGGCATTGTAAAGGTCAACCGTCAGCGTATCCGGTGCAGAAAGACTAGAAGAGGAAGAGGGTTCATTCAGGAAGCATACCTGAGTAGAAGAAGAAGGTGATGGCTCAGAGGATGTAGATGCTTTAGAAGATTCTTCATTTGCATCTATAGCCATCATGCAGACGTAGGCTTTATCCTCTTCATCCGAAGATGATTCATCGGATGATTCAGCTCAGTCATGCTCTTCAGCAATAAGGCCTTTACCCTTTCGTTGGATGTTCTTCATCTTCTTGTACTTCTCCTACAGTTTTAAGTACTTTTCATCTTTGGTCCTGAAGGAGGAATGAGTTTTAGAAGATGGCGTCATAGTCTTCTTTGATCTGCATTCACCTGCAAAATGTCCGGGCCGGTGACAGTTGTAGCAGACAGCTGAAGCCTTGTCTATTCTTTCAGACTTTGGCTTCTCCCTTAAGGATAGCTGAGGAGATCTGCGGAAGTTGCTCTTACTGGCGAACCTCCTAAATGACTTAGTCAGGAGTGTCAGGGACTCATCAAAATCTGTTAAATTAGATTATGGAATGTCCTCAGAAGAATCTATCTCCGTGATGACCACGGGAGGAAGAGAAGAAACAAAAGGGGTAGAAGTTTCAACTGAAGAAGCTTCAGAGATCAAAGCTAAAAAAGAGCTTTTCATTTCCCTAGATTCTTTTACAAGATTTCTTTTCAGTTGACGAGATTGCTCATGGTTAAGCAGAATCCCATATAAGGTAGAAAGAGTGGACATGTCCTTTGACATCTTGAGACACATGGAAAAGGTGTCCCAAGACTCAGGAAGGCATTTCTAGAAACTTAGTCAAGGTTTCAGAATTATAATATTCCCTGCCGACAGCCCTAAGATCAATAAGAAGGCAGTTAAATCTTTGATGTACTTCAGACAGCGTCTCAGACTTTCCACAGAGAAAGCTTTCATACTGTCTTACTAGATTGATATTTCTAGTCTCTTGAACCTGAGTGGTTCCTTCATATTGGACACAGAGTGTATCCCATACGGATTTAGAAGATTTGAGTTTCATCACTGAGTAATAATAGATCTCATCAGGAAGAGACATAGCTATTATCGACCGAGCATGAGTGTCTATAGCTATCTTCTTCTTGTCCTCATTGCTCCACTGATGTGGAAGCTTTGGAATCTGTCATTCAGGAATCGCGGCAGTCGTAGCTGTTGCTGGAACAGCCGGAGCAATAGCAAATGAAATATATGGTCCATTTCCTATGTAATGTGGAATTTCATGATCCACACCTTCCAGAAAGAGGGACATCCTCCGGTTCTTCCAGAGACTAAAGTTGTCACGGACAAACCGGAGAGGTTTGGCAAGAGAGCCATTATCTTTTGTGTGTGTGTGTGTTTGCAATTTGTAAAGCCATTTGTAAGCAGTAAAGTTATCTAAGAAGAGATAAACTAGTACAGAAAAATAGCTAAACACAAGGAAAGAAAGAAAACACTGCTCTGATACCACTTGTTGGTCCCGTAAGGGTCTACAAGAAGAGAAACAGTTTGTAGAAAGGGGGGATGAATACAAACACAGTATTTTCAAATTAAAAATATATATTGATAGAGAAGATCAATACAGATTTTACAAGATTGTTTGCGAAAAGATAAGGTAATAAAAACCTATCTAAACAATCTTTGGTTACACACAAAGCTTTAGCAGATACAAGAAAAGAAGTTGCTATAAGAAAGATCCTTTACTTAAGCTAGAAAATGCTTGAAGTAAGAAATAGGTTAGAGAGAGAGATGGCGCTCTCTACATGGAGAAGAAACACTTCTATTTATACCCAGTGTATTAAATGTTCATTTAATGCAATAAGGAAGGGTTAGAGAGCGTGTCAAGCCATAAGTGGAAGACTTGTCCTTTGCCATAGTGAATAGTACAAAAGCACTATTTATGAGCAGACATCCTTACCTAAAGTTGGTGGACAAAGAGTCGACTAATTGGCTCCGTATCGTACTAACTTTCGTAGGGGAATGGGTTTTGTCCTTTGTGTGCATAAGGACAAGACAACAGCAATCGTGCTAAGCAAACTTCCTTTGATCGTTGAATGCTAGAATGACCTGAAGGTCTCATCATCATTCGCTGAAGTTTGAGCAGTCTTCAGACATATGTAGACAGACTTGTAATCACTGAATACTGCTTCAGATCACATACTCGTCAGTCTCTAATCTTTAGTTTCAGTCTTCAACGGTTGCTGAAGGTTCTTTGGTGTGAGTGTTGTCTTCTTGAAGTATTGTGGTCTCTGATAGATTTACAATACAGGTTCTTCAGTGATCACTGAACAGACTCAGTGAAGATCGCTGGAACTGAAATACAGAAACATAAATACAACGTATAAGTGAAAAGGGATTATCATCAAATCACTAAGAGAGATGATCAACACTTAGACTTATGGGTCGTTTACCCAATTGCTTACCCGGTAAGCGCTTATCAATAGGAGTCAACACTGTGATTTATTTTGATGCGTAAGATTTTAGTACATCAAAACATATTAAATGCAACAACTTACTGGGTAAGCGCTTACCTGGGTAAGAGTCGTCATCCTAACTTACCGGGTAAGACTCTCCATCATTCTCATCGCTCTTACCCGGTAAGATTCTTGGCCCTTCTCATGTTCATCCGATAAGGAAATTTATCCGGTAAGCACTTACCAAGTAAGTGTTTAGTAAACGACCCCTTAGTCTTGTAAGCCAGAGCCCCTCTGGTTGGTTTGGCTTCTGGATTGGATTTTCTTCTGGTTGTTTATTTGAACCTAGGAAAAATATTCCAATTCATCATAAAGGAACCATAGGGGCTCTGGTTGATCTTCATGTTTAACCAGAGGGTCTCTGGTTGTAATTGGAACTCAAATTCTTCAAGTATTTAACATTTTTGTACCCAGAGGCTATACATAGACGAACTAGAGGTTCTGGTTAACTAAAAGGCCTTTGGTTGGCCTTGCTTTTGGGTTGGTCTTGATCTTGGTTGGTGAGTCCACAGGGGTTTTGGTTGGTCTTGCTCTGTATGATGCAAACTTTACCATGGGTTTTTTTCAAAGAGATTGAGTATTTGAATAATTCTGAACTCAAGGTCTTTAGACTTCGTCTTCAGATTTGACATAGGCGTTCTTCTAAGTTTAAATTCAATTTACTGATACAGTTTCATTTCTAAATTCAATTTTATTCTAGGTTAAATTCATTTTAACTAATTATTGATATAGTTTCATTTCTAAATTCAAGTCTGAATAGTCATTCTTCAGAGTTATTCTTCAGAATTATTTCAATAATACAAGTCAGAAGTCATTCTTCAGAGTTTTACTTTATACTTATTTCAAGAGTACAAGTTTGGAGTCATTCTTCAGAGTTATACTTCAAAGTTATTTCAAGAGTACAAGTCTGAAGAGTCATTCTAAAGAGTTAACTCACCCGAACTCTGAAGTCTGCCTTTTTAGACTTAGCTCACCCGAACTCTGAAGTCTACCTTTTTAGACTTAGCTCACCGAACTCTGGAGTCTGAACTCTGGAATCTTCTTTTTCATACTTAAAAGTCTGAACTCTGAAGTCTTTTTTTTAGACTTAGAAAAAGTAGTCTGAAGTCTTCTTTTTTAGACTTAGAAATCTGAACTCTGAAGTCTTCTACAACTCTGAAGAGTACAAGTCTGAAGAGTCATTGTTCAGAGTTAGCTCACCCGAATTCTAAAGTCTTTTTTTCAGACTTAGAATTCTGAACTTTGATTTAGTGGGATTGAATTTATACTTCAGAGTTATTTCAAGAGTACAAGTCTGAAGAATCATTCTTCAGAGTTTTATTTCAAAGTTATTTCCAAAATACAAGTCTGAAGAATCTTGTTTCAGGGTTAGCTCACCCGAACTCTGAAGTCTTCCTTTTTAGACGGAGCACCATGTAGAGCCTTTGTATAATGCATGCAGAGCCTCTGCATAGTGCATGCAGAGCTTCTGACTTGCCTATACAAAGCTCTCAAGTCTGAAGAGTTTTACTTCAGAGTTATTTTAAGTGTACAAGTCTGAAGTCATTCTTCAGAGTTATTTTAAGAGTACAAGTCTAAAGTCATTCTTCAGAGTTATACTTTAGAGTTATTTTAAGACTGCAAGTCGGAAGAGTCATTCTAAATTTACTTCTAAGTTAAAATTCAATTTACTGATATAGTTTCATTTTGAAATTTAATTTTATTCTAGCGTTAACTTCATTTTAACTAATTATTGATATAGTTTTATTTCTAAATTCAAGTCTGAAGAGTCATTTTTCAGAGTTATTTTTCAGAGTTATATTTCAGAGTTATTTCAAGAGTACAAGTCTGAAGTAACATCGTACATTCAATGATCATTCATATCTTTAAGAAAAGTTCCTGACATGATTTAATTTTTTCAAATTACCCCGTGTAATACATGGGATCGACCTAGTATTAATAATATACTAACGGTTTATCAACGGTACTCCTTTTTATTCTAACTAGGGTGGGAACTGTGCGTTGTGCGGTAGTGTAAGTAATTTGAGTAGTAATGTAGACTGTATATATAAATAACTGTTAGTTGTCAAATATAATCATCAACAAATTGTATCTATACAATTCGTAAAAGTTACTATAATATAACTAATGGATTATATATATGTATACACACACACACATAGTAGAAGGGTACTCACGCAATGCAGCGAGATATATCTCGATTTTAATGTTTCGTTTTATTATTTGTCTTTGTCGATGTTATAATACGGTTTTATGTGGTTTTGAGAAATCAATAATGTTTTTATTTTTGAATAAAATATAAATTTGAAAAAATATATATATAAAAGTTCTAGTTTTTTGTGTAATTTCTTTAATTCAATTTTTATTATAATTTAATTTAGGTTTAATAATGAAATAATTTATTTTTGGTTTAAT